TTTATGAAGACATAAAGCGAAAGGAAGTGGATAAAAATAAAATACTATAAGAACAGAAGGACTAGAAGGGCAGTTCAGTGAGGTACATTCGAAACAAAACATTGATCGCTTTTGAGCAGCAGATGACAGAAGGAAGCTAAAGCATAACTGCCACTGGTTTCTATTCTGTCATAACTGATAACGTCTTGAGTAACCCTACCCACAGAATCATGATGAACCGACAGATGATAATCCAGTACAACTATCCTTCATCCCATCGTGTCACTTCATAAACAGATTACCTCTCCGCTTCTTCAATCCAGTCCCACGATCAGCAAACAGTGAACAGTGTGGAAGCCGTTGGGACGCCTTGTGTAACATATCCAAGCTACCGAAGCCAGTGTTTTCAGATGACTTCACTTATCGAATGACGATCTCCATCATCCCCAAACACACGCTGATGTAACTCACAATCACTTACGTGAAGTTGCCACCAAATACGAGCAACACTACGGAGACAACGATAACCAAACATACAGAGCCATCACATATCCTCAACTCGGAGAGGTTAGATTTCACAAGCGCAGAGCAAAACTGCACGTACCGAAGCGTTATAAACGCGACTTTTTACAGTCAGACTAACGTCGCGACGGTGCAAAAGGTTGTCCATATTGACGTAGGCCACTCTGGCTTCCGATATGTGGTTGGAAAATCCACCACTCACACCTCCACCAGCACTCACACAACTATCCGATACATGAACTTTTTGACTACTTTAACGACTCACCACCAAGGATGAGCCCAAGCAAAGGCTGCTTCCAATCTTGCAAAAGCACTTCGCACTTTAATGGTGTGAAGCACATACCATACTCACGGACACCAATTGCCAACTGATTAAGTGCGGCTTGAGCAACCTGTGTTATCGCACAATTAGACGATATCATCCATACATCCAAGGTCGAATAGCCGTTCTCCGGGTAAAAGAGCTACACGACCATCACGCGCCCCCCTTCAAAGTTGTCTCAAAAATGTCATCTATGGCAAAGTTAAAAAGGAATGGAGAAGTCGGGAAAATCTGCCGAACCCCATTGCTGTTTTGGAACAGTGGAGACAGGTGATTTTGTATGCCCTCACTCCACCTAAAGTGTCATTATATAGGGATTTCAAGATGTTAAGAAATTTATCGGGTACGCCCCTCTACAACAGGCGGTTTCAGAGTACAGCTCTGTCCAGCGAATCGAGGGCAGCTAGGATGTCAAGAAACACAGTGATTGTTGGACTGCAATATGTGTGGCTATGTTCAAACATCTGCAAAAGGTAAACAAATGATCATCGCATCCACGACCTGAACGAAACCCGGCCTGCTTCTTCCGAAGCATTTCCTCAGGTGTTTTGCAAAGTCTGTGAATTATGATAGCAGCCAACAATTTCGACGCGACTGGTAACAGACTAACACCCCAATGATTGTCACAGACGTTACGCAGACCTTTTTAAGGATGAGCACAACAATGGCTTCATTCCAGAGTGATGGAACACTCTCAGCCTACCATACATTTTCAAACAATCTAGTTAGTTCCCTGACTAGAGTCGTTCCTCCATCCTTAAAAAGAGTCGGGGGTATTTTGTCTGGGCAGGGTGCCGTGCGGCGTTTCAAAACTCGGAGTTCCTTATGGACCCCGTCTTGTTAGGTGGGTCAATGTTAACTGACCATAAATCACAATACGCCGAAGGTGACAATGCTAGAGCCATGAGGTTAGCTAAACTGCTTTTCAAAGTGCTCTACCCAGCGTTTCAGAAGTCTTTGAGAATTGTTTATCGGCCTACCATCTGCCTCACAGACCATCTCACTGACACCTTGCTCGGATGAGCTGGAACAGCTTCCGACTATTGCCAGCCATATGCAGCTGCTGATTCGATCTCACTCGCGCGTTTTGACCACCAAGCCTTGCTATTCCTGCGTAGGCGTTGTGTAATCTTTCGCGTAAGAGACTTACATGAACCATTGTACTCGCTATCCGCCAGAATGGTCTGGCGGGCATCAAGAAGTTGCAGTGAGTTCGCAGAGATTCAGTGTTTATTAGAGGTACGTTCTTCCAAGCCCCATGCGCTTTTACTCACCATTTTCAAGGCATTTTGCAAGTGCAATCAGTGCTGTCTACCTTTCTGGAGGATCGGTAGCTAGCGTCAAATCGAGCTCTGACTGGTATTTAGCTGTAGTGTTAGGTGCAATTAATTGCTTGCATCAACCTGCTTAGAATGACAATTTTTATGGCCACTAAAAAGCAAAACGAGCTTACCACACACTAAAACATGATCAGACTTCACGCAAGCACTCCACATAGAAAGATGGGGATGCGTGCACCCGCGTCATCGGTTGCTGGTTACAATATAATCTGTTTGCGTCCAGACTAAAGTGGCAGAGGAAGGACGCCAAGTAGAACAACGGCAATGGGCGTGCCGAAAATTGGTGCCAGCTAGAAATAGGTTGTGATCTACGCAGAGCTGTAAAAGACGATCCCTGTTATCCGACCTACAACCGACTGATACCCATTGGCCACCTAAACGACTCTCCTATGAGTCTAGACGTTCGACCTGAGCATTCAAGTCCCAGCTAGCACTACGATATCTGTCGAGCGCACTTGGTTGAGAAGGTCACTCAGTTGATGATAAATTAATTCTTGGTTGCATCTGGGCAGCAATTCGTCGGAGCATAGGCAGAGATGACAAAGAGACATCGTGTCCCTTGCCGATTACTTCTTACTCGAGTTGAATCTCGAAGCCTAACAGAACACAGACGACTGTTGATGCGGATACAGTCGAGTAGCACAGTTTCGGCTTGAGCGTTTAATGTGACACCGACGCCAGAGAGACCAGTTGATGATGTCACAGGGTCCCCAGATAAGCGCACATGAAACATACTTTTTGAGCTGATAGATTGGGAGACTATTCGAGACGCTTCGCTGGGATCTTGTATGCGGGTCTCTGAGATACAGCATAGCGAGGCTTGTCAGAGTCCTAGCCAAACCTGCCTGTTTTCCGATCTGCTTCAAGGTGCGAACGTTGAAGGTGGTGAGCTTAAACGATATCCATGGTTTCAGGATAGCTACGTCAGATGGCGCACTGGAAGACAGCTTTATAGGAGCAGCTGTTTAGCGACTCAAAATGGTACAGACAGACCAGAAGTCTAAGCAGTGGAGAGCAGCTGAGTGAAGTGAAGATAAAGACAAAAGCGAAAATGGTAGTAATAAAAAACACAGTCATATGTAAAAACAATATAATAGCAATAGATTGATTAATCGATTAAAAAGTTCGCAGTGCAATGAGCTTCAGTATTCACAGAAAGGTTGGCTAATAGCTTCAAAACCTTTTATATTGTAAATTCATAGTTCATTTCTTGTGTGACGGCTAGGATACTGCCCCAGCGCCCAGACCGAAGCAGGTCTGAACCTTTGAAAGTCTCAGCGTGAGGTCCTCAAGACTACAGAAAACATTGATTGGGGACTCTTCGTGGTTATAAAAGATACAACTCTGTTATTTAAAAAAAGTGACTGAGGTTCTAACCATTTCACTGGAACTGATAACTATAAAATAAGCGTGCAACTCAGCAGCCTAGCATACGTATTAATCAAATTTAGTAGGTCAAGATGCTCATCGCACTAGCCAATGGTTTAGATTGGAGTAAATATAGTGAGTTTGATTTCGCGACCTAACATTACCAGGAATTGAAATACACTCTTATCTCCACGACAGTTTATAGAATATCAATGTACGGCATCAGAATTTGGTATGTTTTGTATTCAGATAAATATTTACATTTTAATGAAACCCACAGGAAATTTTCACTGCGACTTTGATTTTTATACCTGGAAATCTCCTGACAAACAGTGCAAGTTGTAACCGAAAGTATCAGTGAGTGACATCATATATCGTTTACCGATTTTAAGTTGTACGGAGCCATGCTCACAAGCTACTGCGTGCTGAATATGCACTGGGAGAAAACAACAAGTGAAACGTATGAGTGAAGGGAATAGCAGTTTACATGAGAATGTACTACTTAGTGTGTGCAGGAATGCAACAGCACTATGTTGCGCAAAAACTACGACCGTTTGCAGCTATCCACCAAGTTATGGGGCTGTGGTTAATTGGCTTAGACTATCAACCAGTGGGTCACGGGTTCGAACACCGCTTCACCCACTGAGGTTTGGGCAGCCAGTTAGCATCATTAGCCCTTACACAATGTGTGTAGCTCATTGCCTAATGCACAAATATGTACAAGGTCGTTGAGTGTATTTAAGTTTGGATTCCACTAAGTTTACAGTCTACAGACGACAATAGTGCTAAAATGACTATACAACCTGGTATTTAAAATTCTAACTGATATGGTAGAAGGCTGCATTATCTGCAGAAAGGTTAGCATGAATGAGGTTCATCCACGAACAATGTGATGGTATACTATTGTCACAAAGTTAAAGAGTAAAAACTATCGTTAATCAGACAAATTAGAACGAAAATCCAACTACCAAAGGCTTTCTCATTAGTGTAAAAACCCGTGCGTGGTTCTTCAGTCAAATTTACCTTTTTCACATCAGATGTGCATTACAACTTTTATTTCTGAGTTAATTTTTAATCCTAAGAGTGATTGTGCATAATCAAGAATAATGAAAACAACGGTTAAATGTAAACAAACAGAAGAGAATTCCCGACTTATAAACTGACCCTTTAGAGGTTATAGGAATGTAAATCATAATGAAATGTACCTCAATGTACACAAGCAATTTCGTGCAATGAGCCAGACTTTTTGTATGAAAGCTTATGATACTAATTGACTATCCCCACCACGGTAGGTGATATTAAGAAAAGAACCACTAACCCCCTCTTTGGTTGAAAGTCGAGTTCTTAGGTTCACTAACCAAAGTTCATACAAGATTGTAAAGAAGAGAAAGGAACCAATGCACAAAACAACATTTGTTATGGACAGTATAAGTAAGTCAAATAATACAAAATTATAACATGAGACTTACATTCCTTATCTGTTGACTCTTTATTCATTATATTCGGAGGTATTTGACAAAATTCTCTTAGTAAACCAATTAATGGCCAAAGAAGTAATCTTTTGCCTATTTCAGGAGACTTTTGACATAATTCATGCACAGCTCTAATCGCAGTATCATAAAAGAAGCGAGAAATCACGGATGAATCATGTTCATTACCCACTATGGTGTTTTTCGACTCCATTATTTCCAACAACTTTGCGTAGAATAGAAATATATAATGTATACACAACAGATCATCATTTTCATAACAACTCAAACGTTTATAGAAGTTAAAATTGCACAACACCCTATTGTGTACATCAAAAATTTGTAAACAACCAATCTTAGAATATTAAAGATTTCAATCATGAAAATTATAACAAGGCACATAGGTGAACGATATTGTTTTCAGTTACATATTAAGCCTGAAACCAGTGTGGAGATCTTCTGCACTCCACTCAGCATAAAGCGTGAACAAGATCCGGATTCTCAAAACCAACGTCAAGTCAGTGTCTCTGTATGGCTCAGAGACTTGGCGCGTTACGAAAGGCATTTCCAATAAACTACAGACATTCATCAACAACTGCCTACGCTCACCCGATGCTGAAGATCAGATGGCCAGAAAGATTGAGCAACATGGAACTCTGGCAGGCAGACAAACCAACCAAGAACCTATCACTCAACAAATATGCAGAAGGAAGTGGAGATGGATTGGGCATGCACTGAGAAGGCCGACTGGGGACATCACACGCCAAGTGAGGCCCTCGAGTGAAACCCAGATGCGAAGCGACGAGTTGGACGTCCCAGTTGAGGGTGACATGGAGGAGATCGTGCGAGGAGGAAATGAGAGCTTCTGGGCTGTCGTGGAGCCAGGTTCAAACGATTTCAGAGGACAGAGTGCACTGGAGACGTGCTACTGAAGCCCTATGTTCCACTAGGAACCCAAGGGACAAATAATGATAATAATAAATATAAAGTCAAAGATAGCAAGTCTGCGGATTATGCACATTAGAATAATAAATAAGTGGTAGTGTGAGGAATAGTGCGAATGTTCAGAATGGTATGACAACATAAAGATAGGCGCACAGATAGATAGACGAAGTAGATAAAGGCTTGGAAACAAAGTGTGAACGTAGATAAAGTTGTGGAACTGTGAAGCATGTCTTCTCCAAAGTGAAAGAGGTGAATGTGACTAGGAAATGTATGATATCTCTGAATGCATCGTCGTTATTCACCAATGTACCGTTCACTTAGACACCTGATATAATATGACAAGTGATGGAGAAACAAATCAATGTTGGAATTCCTGAGTTTAAGCTCAAGGAATTACTTCTTAGGTTTACAATGAACGTACACTATTTTCAATAATGCATATTATAGACAAATGGATGGAATCGCAATGGGCTCACCATTATGCCTAATACTTCCAGACTTCTTTCTAACCAAACTAGAGAATGTCATCAACAAACTATCGATACACGGATGAAACTTCATGATAACTGCTCAGAATACAGATATGAGCGAACTATTGATCAATTTTAACAACAAACACCCATCATCTGTCAAGAACATGAAAAGAAGTTAAATTTTCTTGATGTCCTACTAAATAGATGAGGAGATGGCTCACTTTGCAGAAGTAGGTAAAGAAGAAGAAAATCTACATGTCAATACACAGGCTTCTTTAGTGTCGCACCTAAACGTTGAAAAAGAGATACAGTGAAATGTTTGACACCCAAAGCAATAAAAATCTGCTCACACAACACTACACAGTGAGCTAAAGTCCATTTTGAATTCTGTAAATGAAATAGGTTATCCTTGCAATTTTATAACACAACATGAATAGAGTGAGCAGAAGGCTTGAGAAACCACCATTCATAAAGCTATAATTTAATGTGGATTTACTTAGTATGATCCCATTCCGTTAAAGATACTTTTTATGCAGCTAATCCCTGTGTTTTGTTTTCTGGTCAACGAATTGTTTCGCGTCAAACGAAGGAGAAGTTACCAAGTTTCTCCAGTTCTATGCTTATTTATCACCTTAATTGCTTCCGTGGAGACAGTTATATCGGGTGTACGACTAGTCAACTTAACAAACGTATTACCGAACACCTATCTTTACGGCTGTGCTCAACGACAAGAGGAACTGAGCACGATGTATAAAACACTGAACAAAGAAGTAAAGAAGAGTGCACGCAAAGACAAAAGACACTTCTACGAAACACTGGCAAGTGAAGCAGAACAGGCTGCAGGTAGGAGAGACCTGACAACATTGTATCAAATAACCAGGTTGCTATCTGGGAAGAGACCAACACAGATGAAACCAATAAAAGATGAAGAAGGAAATTTAATTACGAAAGAGGAGAAACAAAGGAAACAATGGGCCGATTACTTCAAAAAGCTCTTGAATCGACCACCACCTGCACTTCGTCCAGAAATACCACCTGCAGCCGCTGAATTACAAGTGAACATAAATCCCCCAACAAAAATGGAAGTCCTGAACGCCATAAAGCAACTGAAATGTGGGAAAGCAGCAGGACCAGATGGGATACCGCCAGAAGCACTGAGAACAGATGCAGAGACAACAGCAGACATGCTCACACCACTATTGCAGAAGGTGTGGAAGGAAGAGAAGGTACCTGGCTAGTGATTGGAAGAAGGGTTACCTTGTCAAACTGCCGAAGAAAGGAGACCTCAGTGTTTGCAAGAACTGGCGTGGAATCACTCTCCTGTCCACCCCAAGTAAAATATTAAGCCGCATCATCCTGGAGAGGCTTAAAGATGCACTGGATTCAAAACTACAACCGCAACAGGCAGGCTTCAGGAAGTACAAATCATGTGCAGACCAAATTGCAACGCTTCGCATCATCACAGAACAGAGCATAGAATGGCAATCAGCTCTCTGCCTCAACTTCATCGACTTTGAGAAGGCCTTTGACAGCGTCGACAGAGAAGTAATTTGGAAACTGCTTCAATACTACGGAGTACCGCAAACCTTTATCCGCCTCATTCAACAACTATATGAAGATGCCACATGCCAAGTAATTCACAATAGGAAGCTCAGTGATGATTTTGAAGTGAAGACAGGAGTGAAACAAGGTTGCCTACTATCCCCCATGATATTCCTTATTGTGGTGGACTGGGTCATGCAGCAAACAGTAGGCAGCGAGAAGAGGGGGATACACTGGACCGCGGAAAAGAACTTAGAAGACTTGGATTTCGCCGATGACTTGTGCCTGATGTCACATAAACTTGAAGATCTGCAGGCAAAAACTAACAAGTTGATAGAAGAGGCAGCTAAGACGGGACTTCAGGTGAATATCGAGAAGACAGAGGTGATGAAGATACCGCACCAACAACAACAACAACAACAACAAACTCCAATCACCGTCAACGGGAGAAACTTAAAGGAAGTAACCTCCTTCACTTATCTAGGAAGCACTGTTTCAACTACAGGCGGAACGGACGAGGACGTCAAAGTCAGAATCGGAAAAGCAAGACAGGCGTTCATTAGCCTGAAACCAGTGTGGAGATCTTCTGCACTCAGCATGCGGAACAAGATACGGATTTTCAACACCAACGTCAAGTCAGTGCTCTTGTATGGTTCAGAGACTTGGCGCGTCACGAAAGGGATTTCCAATAAACTACAAACATTCATCAACAACTGCTTACGCTCGCTACTGAAGATCAGATGGCCAGAAAGAATAAGCAACAAGGAACTCTGAGAACGAACCAACCAAGAAGCTATCACGCAACAAATATGCAGGAAGAAGTGGAGATGGATTGGGCATGCACTGAGAAGGCCGACTGGGGACATCACGCGTCAGGCCTTTTTCTCGAGTGGAATCCCCATGGGAAGCGACGAGTTGGACGTCCGAGGTGAGGGTGACATGGAGGAGATCGTGCGAAGAGGAAATGAGAGCTTGTGGGCTGTCGTGGAACCAGGTTCAAAAGATCTCAGAGGACAGAGTGCACTGGAGACGTGCTACTGAAGCCCTATGTTCCACTAGGAACCCAAGGGACTAATAATATAATAATAATAATCTTTATGGCTGGGAAAAAGACAAGTTAAGTGTGTAAGGAGCTCTATTTTGCCGCATCAGGCTAATAGTCATCATCATCATCATCATCATCAAGAGCGTTCAAAGCGATTTACCACATTCCACCGAACCTTTCTAATGAAGTTTGAGGGTGCCTTTTACATATACCTGAGACTAAAAGAATTTGTACAACCTTTATCCCTACCTTGGCCGGGGAAGACTTAAAGATCTATAAATTTTTAAAATGCTCTTCCCTTTTTATTGTCACCCCCTTTTTACACCACTACTATATTCACAATCAAAGTTGGTTTCCAGGCCTTTACCTACTTCGTCTATCTATCTGTGCGCCTATCTTTATGTTGTCATACCATTCTGAACATTCGCGCTATCCCTCACACTACCACTTATTATTCTAATGTGCATAATCCGCACACTTGTTATCTTTGACTTTATCTTGATTGGCTCATATTTATATGTGTCGGAAGTTATGTATATTAGAATGAAGCTTGAGATGTAACAGAAAACAATGTCGTTCACCTGCGTGCCTTGTTATAATAACTATTCTTACAAATCAGAATGTAAACTTGTAAAATATCTCCAAATATACATCCAAAGGTGATATTAAGTGTTTAGATATTCTTTTGGTTAGCTGCTAAAAGCCAGGACATAAGAGAATCTTGTTACGATTTTGTCGTCACAAGATACAGAAACCTACAATGTAAATGTTATTCATATAGAGAAAAATTACGATTGAAACTAGCTGGGTATTGGGACAATAACACGTGACCCATGAAGAGTGATAAGGAAATGTTCAGTTTGACCAGAAGGAGGTTAATGATAGCGATTACGAACCCTGTGGTATTTAAGCAGCAAGGTTAAAAAACAAGTTGTGACCAGTGTTGTACATTTTGCAGCTACACATGGCTTTACATATATCCACTCATTTGTACAGAATACATACCTGGGTACAAATTAGGGAGCAGTAATTTTCATAGCATGATTTACTATTATCAGCACTGGAAGTGTGAACAGATTCTGGGATTGTCGTTAAAATATTGACCAACGCCGAAATCATTTGGGTTGTGTACGTGGATCAACTGAAGTGATTGTACCAGTTGACGGTATGATTCCCGGACAAAGTGATATAGAAGCAAGTAACATACTCTTAACACCCAAATTTTGCACATTTTTGGATTCTCCAACATTTACGGTATCAGTTACAACTGGATAAACTAGTAGACGGGATAACAAACGACCACAAGATTTTCGCAACCACATTGGTGCTTTGGGCAATTGAACAGCACCTTTAACCTTGCAAAATGTAAAATGTGTGGAAAGAAGAAATTGACAGTATACAATATTGTTGAGCAATGAAAAGGAAGAATTTATTGGCAGAGAGAGTACATATCACATTGACTCCAACTGCTCATAAGTGTTTAATTGAATAAAGAACGAATTAGCAAACAAATCTTCACACAATAATAAGAAAACCAAAATAGATTTTTAAGCTTTGTTGTGTGAATACATGAGAAATTTCCAACTGCTATACGGCATAATAACAAATAGTCGACTGGAATAAATGCGGTATCCGATAACAAATAGTCAGTAAAGTATCCTTCAAAAAGTATCACTAATCACGAAAATAAGAACAACAAATAATTCTGGCAACATACTTTATATAACTGAAAAGAAGAAACTCAGGAGGAGGAGAACTAAAACAATAAAAACGGTGCAAACTGTGGTAGATGTCTAGGAAATAAAGCAAAGGATAAAAGGGTGGCGACAGTCGCAAAATTCACCAACGAAATTATTTTTAAAACATGTTCAGTCTTCAAGATAGTGGTTTCAGATGTATAATTTATACAAACGAAAAACCCTATACCCTTCAAACGGTTTACATCAACACTCATAGAAAATTTCCACTAGCTCAGTCTCTCGGTCTGATGGTCTTAAACTAGTGCTACAGTGATTGGGTTAAAAGGTAGAAGTTTGTAGAAGGGTGAACATATTACAAAAGTATAAAGTCTTCGTCAATCTAACTGGTTTTAAAATCATTAGGAAACCGAAAGCTCGAAAAGAACAAGATGAAACGAAATGCTCTCAGTAACCGCCTACACATTCACATAGTAAGCAATGAGGCACATTATCAATTGAGGGTAAATGATACTATCTGGCTGCTTGAACTCCTATGAAGCGGGATTTGAACACGAGACCTGTTGGTCGAAAGTCAACTACCTAAACCAATGAGCCAAAGTTTCAACAGCAGGAAATTTATAAAAGACTTTCTTTGACACCGGTTTATTTCTCAACTGTATATTCGTATATGACGAACAAAAACTTGACGAGATCCAAATAAAGCACAATGGTTTTAAGAAGAACCAAAGTAGTAAATAAAAAAGATGTGTAGTATTTTAAGTTCCTTAGTGGGTGGATACAACTTAGGAACGACCAAAGAGTTTAAAAAAGCTTTTAAGTAATAGAAGTTAGTTCGTTAGAATGGATATGGTTTTCAAAGCTTGAAGTGTTAGGTCACACAAGTGGAAACGATTATAAGCAGAAACTAAAGAAAGAATCCCTGACAATAAATTTGCAGGGATATCGCTGAATTTCTTGTTTCTGATAACTTACTAATCTAAGCCAAGAGAGGTACTTCGGATATAAGTAACTGACTCAGTGTTCACAACCTGAATATTAGTTGGACAGAGAAGACGTACTAAGAGCATTCCAATTACCTAATCAGTCAACATCAACATATAACCTGTCATTAATAACTAGCTATCGAAACTAACACACACCTCCCATCAACATGCAAGACAACCGAAATAAACATTCAAACACTCAATCAGTAACACTAAAAGTCATGGAAAGACAGAAGGAGAGGAAACATGTTAAGGTCAATAATGAAATATAAAATAATGAATAAAATCAACATAAGGTGCAGATGCATTTGTGCCACCAACATCAATTATCACTCATATCACCTGAACTCTTCAAACATCGACTTCAGTCATCACAACAACCCAAACAACAAGTCTACATTTCCTTACAGGAATCAACGGAAACGTTAGATTACATGCATCGATGCCGCGATTCAGTCTGGCAACCTCCAACGTCTTTTTAACCTCATCCCACTTCAGGCAACATACCCCATAGGAGCATGCGTGAATAGGCATGTGCATTACATGTTCCAGTCACATGAGTCAATAAACGTCTATAACCTGAAATATTGGGTCATCTCTCCCACCTGAGATTCCACAACCAACTGCTGCATTGGTCATATGGTTCAGTTTTTACACCGAAATCCATGTTTTAACACTATGTAGATCAATCAACATTTATAGCGACCCTTAAGTATTGTGTTCGAAAGAAAATATAACTTCAAGTATTACTTCTTAGGCTTTCTCGATGGTCTTTTTGTATTTCAAATCACGTTATTTGAGATATATTGCCTTTAAATCCGAAACCAAAATGATTCGCTGGTTCGTAGGCAAGTGGTAAACCGCATAAAATTAAAAATAAATTTTTCTGAGACACGGTATTCGAATCATGAGGTTTCTGTGGGCTTATCGCCATACAACCCATCGGGTTCAAAGCAAACCACGGCCAAGTATGTCGAAAACTTGTGGATGCAATGATTAAGGTAAAAGGCTTCAGATAAACTATTTATGGTAAGATAGATCACGGAAACAACTGAAGGGAGATCAATAACGTCATTAAATGGGAACAAAGTACCAGCATACAAATACATAAAGAAGCACTAAAGTACCCATATACTAAAATGTTAATATGGCAAGCAAGATGTGGTTTTAACAGAACTGAATGATCTAAGAGACGGACTAAGGAACATTGTGAAAAACATGAATTATGTTACCTATTAATAGGAAGCACTATAAACCTACAAGCTTAAAAAGGGTACAAAGGTAGCCACAAAATGGAAGTTTAAGGTGGAATATCAGAAGAATTAACGGCCAGTAGCATTCTATTCAAAAGATGTGTTATAACCAACAGAATGAAAATCATATGAATACAGTAAATAGTGTGGCAAGCTTTATGTAAAGGTAAGATGACTAACCGTGGCTATTACAGAAATACACAACGGTAATAATAAAATCAACATACTACGTTAGCAAGATGCTCAGTTGAAGACAAGAAAGAGAGCCAATAATAATGAAGAGTAGATAGTCAATAATGGAGTAGTCCTATGTTAGATGACAGCATACATTGTTCCCATTTCCCCATGACTTCAGTTACACGTAAAAGGCTGAGATATATGCCTTTTGATAGTTGGTATATAGAAAAGAAGGCTTGACCTAGCTTTAATTTGGCATTCCGTGCCCACCTAATAGGACAAAATGGTATTACTAATGTATTTGGCAACTTCTTTTCAAGCCAATCTGATACATTCTTATGAGTGCATAAGAATAAGCCTTCTGAGTACAGCTTAACACGGTCGTATATAATAACTGACTGTCCATTACGCACTTATTTTAGCAACAATCAAATTACTCCAATTATGGTTTCAATTTAAGTGTAAGGTTATTCGATATGTGCTTTTTAATAACAAAAGTAGAACATCACGTAAGCAGTGATACGAAATATTTCAAAAAACTTTTTTTTCCTATAAATTAACATAAGAGCATTGACGAAAAATTAAGAATTCAGAGAATGGTGAATAAGAGAGACAATGCGAAGTCAAACGTTGTACAGTAGTGTATTTGTTCAACTTTCTACAGAACTTATTTAAATGTCTCAGTATAAGTCGCCAATGTTTAGATAATTTCTCAATTGTTGTCCATTTACATTAAAATATATATCTTTCCAAGGTGTATATAGTGCATCTCCTTATACATAGATTAGTCAGACTTGTGTTTTCAATACATAAATACACGCAATAAACTCAAAAGATAATTAGATATAACCTAACCTTGATGTTGCCGTATGATCCACCTTGGAGAATCATCAATTCCTTCATTGCAATGTGACGTGGCAGTCCTAATAAGAGCTTCCAGAGGATTTTTCGAGATTCAGAAATGCATGTCATCAGTGAAGAAATCTTGTCAGCAGTAAAATTGTTATTTTTTATATATGAATCCATTCCATAGGCAGACTGAAACAAGCTTGCAATTAAATCACCCAAAAAGAACTGGTACTGATTAGCTGTCGCAACTGGAAGGATTTTGATTCTTTCAAACACAGAAGGCACTTGATAATCTGTATGGTGAATAACGAAAGATAGTTAACACAAAAATTATTTCACACAGGAAAAATGAGTACATTGGAGAAGTGTATGGGCCCATTTCAATGGTTTGCTAAATCATCTTTATCAATCTCACACTCCACTGATCAATATTCTCGTCTATTTGCATAGCTTTCATCAAATAAAAATTTCTTTTCAAGAGCTGTTAAGTAGAACAATACATCGTATGGGGGCTTATTCAGGGACACTGAAGCATCTGTATCCGACCTTGCTGGCATCGGTGTTGTACTAAGTGCTAGAGCCTATGCCGTACTAGTGGGTTCCTACTACACCAGGACGTCCAATCGGAGTCAAACGTAACTGGCAAAGAGGATAGTGTCTTGTCATTTTTGTCCGTGTTCGAGAGGCAATTAAGAAAGGATTCTGCTACCAGTTGAACAACCTTTACAACCAAATGAATTTGACGGAAACAGCAGTAACGGTTAGAGATTCGAACGCCAAAGTCTTGCACCTAGGTTAAGGCAAAAGTCGTTTAGGTTAGCAATAGACGATAATTGGTCGCAAGATGGGTAATGAAGTGAGTCTTATATGGCTCTAAGCAAACCACACGTTACTTTTTAGTCACACGGGGATTCCTGTTGCATGTAAGGTACTCAGTGAGTTCCTGAAGTAAAATGTCAGAATCACAAATGCGAAAGGTCGGTGGAATTTATTCACAAATATATACAAAGTGAACGACATTCAAAATTACACTGGAAGTCTTTATGACGTAACAAGGTCTATCCGAAATGCAGAACACTTAAGAGATACGAATTCAATCAAACGGAATCCAAAAAAGCTTATATTGACAATAAAAATAAATCTATCACACATTAAGTTCTCAGTCGATGAATTACCTGAGAAACTACAGTTCATATTTTTGGATTATGAAAATGAAGTCACATGAAACAGGGTGAAGAAAAAACAACAGTGCATCCGATTCAATTTCTCGAAAAGCAAACATCAGAGATAAAACTTCCCTCTAATACTAACCGGTAAGTCCATGGGTTTCCTGGTGTTGTATTCCATAGGCCTCAACTAGAAGTTTTACCTCTAGGACCCTAATTTAGTGATCATGATCACTAAATTAGTAAACTAGATACAAACATACAATTTTAAAACTTCCTTTCACTGGTTTGAATCCTGCCACGGTCCAAATTTTCATTTCACCTTCAATTATCATCCAGTATCAATACTAGTTTGCAAAACTATGGCTATCCCAGATAGTCAAAGTGATAAAACTTTTCCTCCCAAACATATGATTATCATAATTTCCTGCTTTTCAACGTTGTGCCACATACTGCTTATAAAGATTCTCGTATAAGAAGTTCTCACCATAAAAGAGGCATGACGCGTGAAAATGCCAATAGTTTGTCGGAATTTTAGAGAGATTTGCTAATGTTTACAACCTTTTGTGCTATCATAGCACTAGTTTGTCGGCAAAAAATCGGATATGCAATGCCTAGATGCGTTGGATCCTTCCCCATGCCAGTAACTACGCATGTTCGACCTTTGTTGCTTGTGTAGAACAGTTTGCATCCACTGCAAACATCATGCAATTAACCCATAGATCTGATAGCACATGTTCTGAGCATGATGGTAACTGCCATTCAACAATTAGCTATCTAGAAACAATAGCTTCAGTGACCTTGATATCTCACATGCATATCGCCTTGTTGACTTTCAAGTTAATCACCTTTTACAGGTACTAGCACTGGCTAAAAGAAGTGAAGGGGCTTGATTTGCAACGCAACACTTTGCGACAAAAGAGAGATGCGTCAGGTTAGGATACATCTCGACATTACTAATGGACCGATGTGGTCAAATCGACCATATCATGCGAGTGGCTCAACATGCATTGCAATTGAAGTTTTTTGTAGATTACTGATCTTATTGAGTTCTATCATCCTATATTTAGTCGAATTCCTATGTTCCAGTAATTTAAATAACCCCGACCACATAGTTTGAGGTATGTACCTGACCTCACGGTCATTGGATGGAATTTGGTAGGTTAGATTATTTTGCTTAATTGGATCTATTGGATTCTTAAGCCGACAAAGCTTATCTCTCAGTGAGTTTGTAGGTTCAAATGCAACCCTAATTCCAGATTTGTTGAGGATCCTACGTAAAGTTTCTGATATTTCTTCCTTATATGGCAACATGATGGAAGCTTTGAACTCCTTTCTACTCGTGTTGTCAATATTACTCTCATTCATATTACCGTTCTTATCTTATTTTTTATATGTGCGTACGGATTTTTTAATCAACTACAGAGGATAATCATTAATTAGTAGTTTCTTTCATGTGTCTCAGTTCCTTGTTTAAGCCCCTGCATTGACTTGTGAATTATCTAGCTTTATCAAGTAGACATTCGACTAAACCCGCTTAACTGACATTGGATATGACCTGAAGTCCAGATACCTGTTAGAATGCGTCGGTTTCATGTAGACGGTAGTATCTAAACTACCATTTGTTTTTTGTTTTACTCTGCAATCCAACATAGCTAATTCTCGTCAATATGTTCCGATTTCAACACAGTAAATGTGTCATCCACATATCGCCGCAATATCTTAGTTGCAGGATTAAACATCCGTGAAGCTATGTTTCCCAACTATATATAGATATATTTGCTATGATTGTGGATACTGGCGATTCCACTGTTACTCCTTCTGTTTGTCGATATATTTTGTCATGAAACTTGAGGACTTTGGAGGTCAGGTACAAGTGTACGCCCAATATGTTTTCATCAACCGATATCTTAGTTCTATGGGTAAATCCCGAGTTAACATTTAGTCGACTTTTGACTGACTTCAGTGTCATATTGAGTGATATTTTAGCATAAAGACTTGGTACATCGAAACACAACTTTTTCACCCTTTTCGATATGTAGATCATTAAATCTTAGTTTTAACTCACAAGAATTGACTAGTCTGGAATTTGAGCGCTTCCTAATAGGACATAATATCAATGTTAAGTACTTCAACAGTTTATATGTTGGGGGCATTTCTGAAGCCAACTATCAGTCTAATGGGATAGCCTGGTTTATAAATTTTAATGGTACCGTAAATTCTGCTAAGATTATTAGTTTTAGGCATTAAACAAAACCGTTTAGACCCACCTAGAGATGAGTTCAATCGGTGTATCAAGTCGGCTGTAGATTTCTTGTTTCGTGATCTCATCATATGGCCGTATTTGGATATGTTCGTCAATTTAGTTGAAGTAATCCGATTTGTGCGTTACCACGGCTGAACTATCTCCTTATCAGGTTTTACATTTACTAAGTTATCATTTCGTAGATTTTTCAGAGCTGGATTTTCTAGTTTCGTTGGGTTCGTTGTGTCTTCTTTCGTCTTTCCAGTACTAACGCAAATTGTGCTCTAACCTGTTCAGCTGTTGCTGTATCCACCAGGCCTTTTAGGCTCGGTGGATGGGGGAGTGGCTCAACATACTATTACATATAATCCAGTGTTGGTAATGCTATAAATTCCTTGTTTCTGCGATTTTCCAGTAGTAATAATAAGGTGATGAAGGTTTTTGAATGTGTCTTATGTTACCAATTCTTTTTGCCTCATAAAGTCATACTACTTTCAGCAGCACTTTTCTTCGGGCCTAAATTATAGCAATTTGTGCAAAATCGTTAACTAGTCAAATTATTCTACCTTCTGTGTACCCATTTCTGTTTTTTGACCATATATGTATTCTCGGCTTTCTTTTCTAAACAATGTAGTGCCATCAAATGAACTGACATTTCTGACTGATCCGAGCTACCACACCTCACATTAGCGTGCAAGACAACAAAAAGAAAAACTCAGATACACAATCAGCGCCACTAAAAGTCATAGAAAGACAGAAGAAGAGAAAGATGGTAAGGTCAATCATGAGATGTAAAATATTGAATGAAATCGATGTAAGGCATAGATGCATTTGAGCTGCCGACATCAATTATCAGTCACATCAGCTGCATTCTTCAAACATCGACTTCAGTCATCATAAGAACCCCAACCAGGAAGTATACATTTCCCTACAGGTTCAGTGGCAACCCGCCGGAAAAGAGACAATGATATCAAAATGAACTCAGCAACTATATGCCTTTTCATGCAGTTGGCAATGAGCGAAACTTATAGTATAAGAGCTAGTGATGCCATCTAGTTGCCCAGGCAGCGGTAAGTGGAGCAGGATTCGGACCCATAACTCACCTAATGGAAGTCGAGTACCTAGACCAATAAGTAATACTTGGCTAGAGAGTGAATAGGCATGCGTAATACATATCCTGGTTGGTGGCTCACAATATCATTAACGGAATCGTCTTTCGCTGAAAACTCTACACATAGTTTATGTATTACTAAAGTGATGATTCCACGAAACATGACCTATGCTACGTGGGTAACGGTAGTCGAACACTTCTAGTCCTCTCATGTCCGCCTTTAATGGTTATGTTGCCACTTGTATAACTGCAAGGTACAGAAATGCGAACTGGTGCACACCCGTGTGAAATTTAATCTGTTGGTTAGGACTCAAGCTTATGACATACCCTTGGTGTGTTGTATTTAGAAAGAAGACTATGCGGATCGATGGGCAGCGGGCTACTACAATTGTTTAAAAACAGCTTTGTATACCAAATGAAATTTGATCACACGTTAGTAGTTCTTTCCACTAACCACCGATAATTTATTCCCATGCATAAATCAACTTCTGACACCTCAACAAATCCAAAAAAATCATTCTTTAGTGATTCACACTGCGAGCAGCCCGACGCACCGCTGGGAACACTTAACAGAAAAGTCAAACGGGCCCCTTATTATTATCTGTTCGCAAGGTGAACGGAATTCTTTTTCATTTTTATTTTAGATGAAAGTGTTCTTGAACATCTGAAAAGCAACATCGTATAGTTTCACAAAATTATGCACAAGGTTCACTTGGAGCCAACACCTTAGGAGGTGAGAGAGGATTCGAAATAAAGTGGACCGATGGAGCCTTAGCAATGAAAGTCGTAACAAGAAGCAGATAAAAGCTCAATTTTTTGGAGTGATAAAAGCCTTTAGCTGAGCTCACAGATATTCTAAACTAACTACCAGGTTTCAAAACTCACACAATTATTAGCCACTTGTTGGTCTAAACACTCGACTGTATACCAACAGTTCCTAAAGGTTCTAAAAACGCTCATGTAGTGGTGTGAAAGTGTTGCACAGCATCATTTTAGCTCCTAAACTACTCTAACGTATAGTGTTAAATTGTAGGGTGTACATACTACAATGACTGACAGGGTTATGCAGGTAAGAACATTTTTCACTGGGGTTTCACCATACCAGAAAGTTCTTAGATAGTGGTAAGACAAGCCATTTCACCAAGAGTCCTCAACCACTGATTTTTATCTTCTTGAGAGCCCCAACCGGTCAGTCTACATATTCTTACACGGCTTAAGTTAATAGTCCGAGACTTTATCGCATGGTTCCAAGTCTTGGTCTGGTCATCCTGAACACTCTACCAATCTAATTCAACTTGCCCTAACATGGCACATCGACGGGGTGATGGCTCGGTATGTGCAGTACATGTCCAATCCATCTCTACCAATGAAGCTTCACAACCTGATCAATCGACTTACCTTTCTTTCCCAGCACCCTTCACTTGATCTCAACATTCCTCACGCGCTGACTCTACCGAACGGGAGCAATGCTACGAAGACAACTACGACCGAAAACCTACATGCGCTTTATGTCTTCTAATTTTAACGGCCATGTCTAACAAGTATACAGCAGGAAAGAACGGACTGCAGCACAGTATGCTCGTACTTTTATAGGTAGTCAGATATCTCGCCAGTGAGCGGCACAGATGACACAAGTTGGCAAATGACAAACGGGCTTTGTGTATCCGAGCTGAAATTTCGTCAGCGACCAGCCCGTTTGGGTTGATGCAACTCCTCAAGTAAGTGAAATGGTTGAATGTGTCAAAAACTTCACTCCCTATGATTAAACTGGAAGTACTCGGAGCAGACCAGTTCTGGAGCATCATCTTACATTTGACAGGTGCGTAACTCATGTCAAACTCAGATTTATGCGCATCGCGTTCAGGGGACCCTGTATTTTGTCAGCGTATTCACCTGTTAGGACAGTGTCGTCTGCGTATTTCAAGTTAACCACATCCTTTCTAGGAGCAGGTCAATTTCTCTGAAGTCAGACATACCTAAAGTTATATTCATCAGTACATCTATAACAAAACTAAACACGAACGGCGACAGTGGAAACAGCTAGTTGTCGCCGACTCAGATGACAACTCTCCATAAACCCTTACACAGCTGCATGAGTTCGAGTAGACAGCTTTGATTAGCGTTTCATACTTGTTCGCTACTCGCTTCACAGTCAGACAGTTACAATACCTCACGGTCGAGAAGTATGGCAGGTGTCGGCCGCTGGTAAGTATGTCTGTGTTCCAGAACCTGTCGGAGGGTGAAAATCTGGTGGGTGCACCCTCATCCAGATCTAAAGCCTGCCTAGTTTTTTTGAGTTTGCCGTTTTCGAGTTCCAGTAAGGTGTTCAGATAATTATGAGCCCAAGGGTATTCGACACTACTCGTCAAACTCAACAAAATGTTCCCAACGGATGACCAGCAGTCCTTACCGATGCTGTTTTTATTACTGGAAAAGAACAAGGAAAGGTAGGTCCAGTAAATTAGAGAGCTCTTTTGTAGCTCCAGTTTCCCAGTGCCAATGGTATAGTTTGCATAACCGGACTCAACACAATCAAACTTAAATCCGTAGTCGATAACAGACAAAAATCGCATGGATACGAAAGCTTCCATGGCTATCCCCAACTTACATTACTTATGACAATGTCATGGTATCCAACTGCCTATTAAGAATTACGTGTTCACTTTGACATTAGAATTGTTTAATTAGAAATACTAATGCGACAGTAAGATATTAAGAACGTTAGCTCACGGTGCCTATGACTAAAATCGGTGACAGACACTTCTTTCGAAATGCGAAATTAAGCTCAAATCATTAGTGTTACCACTGTTCAATCAGTAACTTCATGATCAGAAGTATGATTATGCCAATTGGTGCCAATTTTAGTCCTACACAGAACAAAATTTCTGGTGTACATCAATTAGCTCAAATCACAGGCAGGTGACTTGAACAGGTAATCACCATCGCTGAACAAATTGAATGGCATCCCAAAAGAGCTTAATAGTTCAGTATAATGAAATTCATAGCTTTGAAGCTATGGCTGCCCATATCTGGATTGGTCAGTATCAATACAGGTAGGATCTGATTACATTTGCCAAATAGCTAAGCCTCATAACGCAACGGAATATTTGGTTCTGGTTAAATACGACGATAGCTGCTGACACGCAAAGAAACCAAATAATGGAAATAAGGGAGGAACAACTTAAGATTTGACTAAATCAACAGGAAAGGTAATGTAAAGGGAACGAAGACAGTCTTAAGAGTCCAAAGTAATATTGACGGCACTTAATATACGTGCTTTCAATTGGTTTGTAGATAACTTTAGGCACTATTGCTACGTTGTATTACTTGTTTACCCTTCATTCGATACACACCGATATTCTATACTTGTCTATCCTGTACACCGGCCAAAACATCCTAAAAGGTAACTGCTTCTAACATTAAACCGAACCCAAAATAACTGGGATTAAGAAGATAGCCAAGTAGTATATTGTTTTCGTCATTTCGATTTTCAAAAATACTACCACAAACGTCCTCACTCACCTTCATGAGTTTCTCGACTCTTCTGTCATCCTTCGCCTTCTGAGGACAGAAAAAGTCCTCAATATTTTGCGAACGCATTTTTAGTGGTAATGAAACTCCAGGATCCAGAAGAGGATAAACTCCTAGTCTCACAACAAATTCCAAGCATGTACACATTTGCTTTTCTTGGAAGATGCTGAAAAAAGGGATGTCCGAGTTGCCTCCAACTGCACTTTTGTTGTATAAATCTTCACAGTCATGGAGGAAATGGATGCAACACATGTAGAAAGATTCGCAGATTTCCAAACCGCTAAGGTCCTCCATGAGATTCGCATCTCCCAATTTGCCCAAATACGATTCAACTCCTTCACAAAGTCGACTAGATGGATTCGGATCACGAAAATTATTTGAAGGAATGAGATGAGAAAGTCGGTCAAACAATACTCGCAGACTATCCATAAGAATAACTCTGTGTTGACTGTAAACGTTAAGCGCCTGTCATCGGATGTTATGCAGACTTCTCGGTAGGATGCTGGATTTTCTCGTTTTTATTGGTCAGTGTAACATCATCTTTGAAATTTAAATGCTTTGATTTCCAATCAAGCCAACTACTTTCTTTCGAACTTGTGTTATATAGAAATATATCTAAAACCTATGGAAATTTGAAACCAGAGCTAATATGTTACATAGATCGAATGTTTGTGAAGGTCAACGGGCGCTGCGTGACCTTGAACCACCAATAGCTTAACAACCTTTAGAGCCAATTTTATGCTTATGACATTGTCTTGAATGATTAAACTTTAATAAATTTAAAGTTATTCTGATAGACCTGCCGTAACTTTCTGTTGCTGCCCATGCAGAAGCCATGCATCATATATACTTGGATCTGTCAAACGACAGTAGATTATTTCATGCTGAGAACTTTAACTCAAAATAAGTGCCTTGGAATATGCCTCCTTAATACACGAAAACAGTTCCAGGAAGAGGTGATACACCCAGGAAATTGAATTCACCCCATTGGTCGACTAGCTTGAGAACTAGTTGGCTCGTCAAGGTTACCCACGCCCCCTTTAATTCTGGTCGTTATTCTTTAACTTCACCCGAATGTCGCATCAGTAAGCTCAGCAATGGAAACCAATCAGCTGGTAAGTACTAGATGTCATGAGCTAGGTAGGAGGAAGGTTAGAGATTGAAATTACTGAATATGCTTAAATATATATTTCTATGTAAGCGCGTTGGATTGACATGTCCGACTAACAGACTGGTGGAATTACTACTGCTTCGTTGAGTTGTCCGGGCGCTCACGTACAGTGATGTACGGGGACATTCAGGTGGCGAACTCAACCAAGTATTTTGAGCCCACGAGATCCACGTCTTCGGCAGGCATAGGCTCAAGTGCTCATGTTACATAAGCACACCCATGCCTATTCTATGCCTTCAGTAGTTCGTGCCCAAGAAAATAAGTCTCGTGACCCTGATAAGTCTTCTTAAATGCGGGCTCACTATTTTGAAAATGCATTTAGGTACCTGTATAGATTAATCTGATTACTATGAATACATGGCAACTGCAAGTACTTATTCCGGTGGTGGTGCACAGCCCAAAGCAGCACGCAACAGGGTTTTGGAAATTTATGACCGTGCTTATGAAGAACTTCACTTGCTGGGAGTGAGGTTAACCAACCGTATGAATTCCAAAGGGATTATTACCTTCTTGCGGACGACGAGTTTATCTGCTTAGGTTGGTTTCAAATAAGTATTCTTTCAAACATTTTTACTTGATTACGTTTTAGGGCGGAAAATAAGAAGTCTACTGCTGAGACATCTGCGGGTAGGTAAGTGTACCAAGTACTGCATTGTGACTCACTACCATACGAACCAGTGGGTAGAGCTGAAGCCCCCCCCCCCTCAGATCCTAAACTTCAATTCAATATAAACCCCATTTTTTCTAAACCTAGCCTGCACTGGAATTCTCCCGACAGGTGGAACATCGATTCTGCACGACTTACAAAAGCCGTTCTTCACGTCTAAGTGCTGCTAACAATAATAAGCGCTGGCATGTCATTTAGAAACTTGTTTTCCAGAGGTAGCATTTATTTTCCGGTGGGGTCGGAAATCACTCATCTTAACATATTACAGGTGGAGATTCCTTTGAGATGTTCCACCTGCACGACAGCTGAAGTTGTTGACCATTCATGTTTTTGGATTGTTCAGTCTTGGTCTTACCGTGGGATTTAAGTAAGTTCCATTTGTCTCATGCACCTAGGGGCTGCTAACAGTTGGCCTTTTTGTGACAGAACTTCGCAGTGCGAAGAGAAGGCTGAATTCAGATGAAAAATCTTGGTTGTTCCCAGTGATGAGTTACTTGGGCGCGGAAAATAAACATTTATGTTAAATGACGTTTCTACCTTCGCAGCAACAGAATGATCACCGTTTTAGGCTTATTTAGGTCCCGCCATTCTTGGTAGTGTCTTACCCCTCCCTCTTTAACTTGGTATATGCACGCTTTCATTGACAGTGTACTTGCAGCCTAGTCTCATGACTTCTCAGGAAAGGCTGAAGCAGATCTTGGTGAATTTCTGTTTGTTCATGAGTGGCGTTATACCACAGAGTACCTCAGGTATGATGAGTTTTTATTTAAGCATAAGCGCATGAACCATTTGAATCATAAGGCACTTTCTTACTTGAATCCTATGTACATAGTACTATTCACTTACTATGAGCACCCCAAGTATAAGTATGTTGGTCAACTTTTCCTGCAAGTCCCTGGAAATCCCAGACAGTGGGGCCATCTTAATCGGAAACAAAAAGAATGTTCAATATGTTAATACTTTAGGCTGAACTAAACCCTAGTCAACGTAGGAAGCTGGAAAGCCTCTAAAACTTCTCAGAAATGTCAAGTGGCGCACAGTTTGTTTTAGAAAATGCGGATGGCATGGTGCCGATGCCCCATAAAAAAGCCCACAATGCAAAAACACACCATTCCATGAACTAAAATCCATGGAGGTCGATGTTACCAATATGACTGCTTCCAAAGTTAGTACCCAACAGCCAATGACTCTGAGCCACTACTGCCACTGAACTACAAACAACTTATCAATAGTTTACTCATGTTCTACAGCACTTCTATCGTAGGGAATATTTCAGACGTGAGGAAACCCGGTAGGCATCAACTCAATTTGCAAGCAATAGTTTCCTATTAATGTGTCTCTACATTCGCCTTGCGCCCTCGTCAGTAGAGTTGCCATTGGGAGAGCATAATTCATCGCTGTCAAAAACACCATTAATATAGAACAGGCGCCATGAAAGGAAACACCACCATATAAGCGACATACCTGGTCTCCCTGACGTCAGATATCAAAGTAAGAACGATTTATAGTATCATCCGTGTGGACGATTTACATTATCATCTGTGTGAACGATTTTCACTTAGGTTCCCCACTGGTTACGCAGGCCCAGTTGAATAACATGGAGGCGTCTTTTAAGGCTGAAGATTTTCATGGAATATTCATGAATTACATTTACTCCACGCAACAGTTGTAGGGAACAAAGACGTTGGCAGAGGTGCAGAGCCACTCAAGAGTATCGTAGAATGCGATTATAAATACGGTTTGCAACAGGAGGTGGTTCACTAAAGGCTGCAATCGCAAAGTAAACCTCCCGTAGATTCATCACAGCATTCTTTTTACCTTTACTAACTTCCGAATTTCCGGCCTATCCATTGACTCAAGGGGAGGTAGAGTGAATGGCAAATGCGTCTGGCAAGCCACATTTCTACTGTATTCAGGACAGTAGTCAAGCGTTGCAAGTCCAAGTCCTCAATTAGTTTAATGTTGCATGCCACTCGTTTCAAATTTACATGAATGTGACTGGTGCAAAGCATATCCCTTCAAACTGTCGTTACAAACCTGTTTTTTCCTGACTGGATCTGACGACCTAGCTAAAAATTTGCATTTATATATAAAAAGACCTCTGTCAATTTTTATATATAATGATGTTTGCAAAGGCCCTATTAAGGCTTTCTACATGTCTCCTACCAGGCATTTCGTAATGTGAACGAAGTTACGGGTGACTGAATAAGATTCAGTGGGCATTTAAGCCTCATCAATTTCATTATATAAATTATGCTTCTACGTCACGGTTCTGAGGGTTTTTCCTTACTGGTGGATCACTTCCATTATAAGGTGGGGCAGTTCGGAAACTGCGTATAGATAAGTTGGAAATGAGGCAAGTGATGAAGAAACTGTCCAAACAACGTGTCTAAAGAGCTACATTAAAGAACGAGTGTGTAAATAATCGGGTAAATGCAAAAATAATATCGTGAGTTCGAAGGGCGCATTTGAGAACCTCATTTACGCCTTCGTATGCAATCCGTTTACTTCATAGATTCTACATTCACACACGTTACTTCCATATTGTGGCTTGACTGGGCTCATAGACAGCTGCATCCGCCGCTGAACCCTTCATAAATTTATGATGACAAATAAGAGTTGATGAATGGGATTGGAAAAGGGACTGAACACGGAGAATAGAACTAGACCGAAAATAAAACTTTGTTTTTCCTGTTTATTTAATAACTCCGACAATACAAAATTCCTTCACGTTTCTGGTACTTGAAATTTCAAGACGGATATTCATTTTATAACCGCAAGAGGTGACGTCGGAAAGGCTAAGACAGAATACATAATTACAGTACCCTAGGAAAATGTAATCTTTCCCTCATTGACCACCACTAGGTGTAGGCAGAAAACCATTCATTAGCAGATGCTCACCTCTTAATTAACTTGTCCTGGATTTCATACCAAGGCTCGCAATATCATGGGCGCCAGTTTGCGTCACATAACCTTCTCAAACTTCAAACTTCGTGTTGTAGAATCAGTGAAAGACGGTTTCTTGGGCACTATGTCCGTCTTGTTGGCGTGAGTTCTGGGTTTGGAATGGTCACAATCATCTTACTGGTTCCAAAAAACCTGAAAAGATAGAGATTATAGGTTGTTAATTGACCTGGCATGAAGGTAGCATCACCGCACTTGATCAGCATATGACGGAAAGCTTCTCCAATACTGCCCCTCGGTACAGCAGGACTGAAGGCGTGCGTCTAACCTCCTCTTGAAAGTATCAGGGGATGAGGCTGTGACCACTGCTGAAGGAAGGGAGTTCCACAATTTACAAACTCTGGCTGAGAACGAGTTAGCACGGATCTGTGTACGTACTTTCTCGTGCTCTTCTCTTAACCTGTGACCCCCAGGTAGCGTTTCTAAATAAAGCTAGTAAATGATCTATTGGGATGATGAGGATTATGGACGATGTGGTACATCATGATCATATCCCCACTGATCCTCCAATATTGTGCTGGATGCAGATTAATGCCAACTAAGCGGTTCGGGTAAGGTTTTTACCGTAACCCAATCACTTCCTTTGTAGTTCTGTTCTGTTCCCTTTCCAGGATGGCCAAATCCCTC